GACGTATCCCACAGCCACAGCAAATTCAGTAGAGCAGCCACAGCCATGCACAACACAGCCTGGGTGCTTCTCTGGAGAACAGCCATGAACGAAGGCAATATGTAATTTATAGACAACTTGCTCCTCAAACTCTGAAGGCCAAAGGCAAAAAACATCTCACTGTCTATCAAGGTGCTCTGAATATGCTTGTCTCCAAAAGCATTCATATAAATAGGAGTTTTCCCTCCTATCTTCCTTCTACTGAGAGCTCTACATAACATACATAGCGAAATGACTATAGGTTTCCACATATTACCTGGAAGTTCAGCTATGATAACTTTGCAGAGAGATTTTGCAGGCCATTCAATATCAGTTTAATACTGGAACTTCTCTCAGCACTCCATTCCTTCTGAGTCATAGGCAATACTTAGAGAACTATGGGCTCATGGCAGATGGCCAGCTACAACTCTAGCAGGCTGCAGATCCCATAATGTTTGAGAAAATGACAACACAGGCAAGCAACTAAGTAGGTCTCTTGGCCTTAAAATATAATTCGGTATAGCTTCAGCAAATGACATGGTAACAGCAGAACTTGGCCCTTTGTCTTCTACCTGGTATATCAGTTCATTACTAGTGCCTTATGCATCTGTCTGAAATTTCTAAAGCCAGACATAGACCAACTTCCATATGATTTTTAATGTTTTCCTCTCCTGACTGATTGAGAGTTCTTTTCATTATGCAAAAAGAAAATGCTTTAAAACCCAACTGACTTTTTGCTGTTGGCTGCTCTTGTTTTCTGTATTGCTTGGACATGATAAAGCAGCTAGATCAATCTCTCTTTTAATTTTTCACATCTCCAAGAACCCAACACTTATTTCCATCCCAAAGTTTTAACATGTTTAATGTTTAGTTATCTTGCAAAAAATCTAAGTTCTGGACTTGATCCCTTGAGAGTTTCGTTTTAGTGAACAAGAGAACTAGGATCACACTTCAGCTGCTTAGTTCATGTGACCCTCACAGAAATTCAGAAATAACAAATATATTTAAAAAGCAGCAGAATCAACTATCTAAGACATGATCAATTCCCTTCTCAAGAGATGACAGGGTACAGGATTATACGTTGTGATTTACAGCTACGCAACACCCATACACATACACACACACACACACATTGCATAAAACAATATTGCAGTAATTACTGCATTATTTCAAGCCTGCTCAATTCAGTCTGCTTTTCTGGGGCTCCCGCCCAAACGTGAGTAAGGAAACTTTGACCATGTTAGTCTAGAAAGAATCACAGAGGCAATAAGCAAGACCCGGTGGCAGGATCCATTTCCCTCTCATTCTGTAATTTACGCACCAACTCATCTGCTTTTAGTCCCACATTCCTTAGGGAAAGCCTCTTAAAAATCAACTCTTGGATAGTTAATTTTATCTCGCTACATATAAGCGAAGTCTGCTTTGCTGTCATTTTTCAGGGAAAGTGTCCCCTCTAAGCATCACAAGAATACTTGCTCTGGGGATTTGGTAGATCACATCTCTCCAATAGCTTAATCTCAAAGTTGCTGTGTAATTCAGTGATCCTCAGATTAATTAAGGAGGTCTACCTAAAAACTACTTACAAAGAGTCTGCTGCTGCAGAATTCAATCTGAAGTTTTTAATGCATGAGTTGAGAGTGTAAAGTTTTACCCTTCTTCAGTGTATGCTGATCAGAGCTATCTTTATAGCTGCAGCTCTGCAGCACCCTAGCATACATGCACAACTACCATACAGCTTAACTCTGTCTTATGTGTTGGCAAGATTGCATTAATTCACTTGCTTCCTCCATGAGTCAAGTATCTTTCTAAAAAGGGCTCCATGAGGAGAATGACAGCAAAGGAGGCAAGGAATCCATGCCAAGCATGTGTAAAATATTGCTGTCGTATCAGAACAGAAACTACTACCCAGGTCTCCCCTTTCCTATAGGGCCCAATCCCTAGGCTGAATGAGGGAACATACACTTTTCATTACTTTTCAGGCCTCTGTCCTTCTCATTGTCTGCTACTTTAGTCTTCCTGCTTTTCTCTCTCTTCTGTGTTGGATTTTGTGGCTCCTCAGTTTTGCCTTTGATATGTATGGGATGTTAATCCTTTGCAGTGGATTCCCCTCAGTGGCAAGGCCTTTAAAAAGTAGGCCCCAAAATATTCAACTCCCAGACTGTTCAGTGACCCAGTGTTTTAATACAGCCTTGCAGTGATACTGTGACTGGTCATTCACATATCGTCATCTGGGTCAGCACAGACTATCAGTAACCTATCAGACTAAGTCAAGCATGATAACTTGAGAAAAACTTCTTGACTGTGAGGGTGACAAAGCAATGGAACAAGATGCCCAGAGAGGGTGTGGAGTCTGGAGATATTCCAAATCCACCTAGATGCAATCCCATGCAGCGTGCTCTAGGTGATCCTGCCTGTGCAGGAGGGTTGGACCAGATGATCTCCAAAGGTCCCTTCCAACCTTAATCATTCTGTGATGCTGTGATCTGCAAGTCTTTACAAAGTAAATGTGACCAAAATTAGATACTTATTGTAGAAATAGTGGAATATGGGTCCAGACTCCAAACAGAGAACTGAATTGCCTCAAATTTGTTTGTAGCCTGAATATGCTATCAAAATTATTTTTCCTCATTCAGATTTAGAAAACTACAAAAAAAAAAGGGGGGAGGGGGAAGAAGAGATTAAACTCACCCTTCAGTTCTTCCAGTTCTGTGTTTGTATCCACCTGCTTCTTGGATAGAGCTTATAAAGCACAGCAACTAAACAACGTTCACTAAATTTAGGGGGCAAACGATAATCACTGAAAACTTTTCATGCTTTTGGTTTAAGAGCATTCCTAGAAGACCTGGCAAGTTGAAATGAAACTTTGGTGTGAGTAAAGCTGGCCTGCTGACCTACATGGTCACACACGAGCATGTCTCACCTCCTTGTTAGGTTTATTAGTTTGATTAAGCCCTATGCTCAACTAACTATACCACTGCTTAGCTAACTGTACTACTTGTAGTTTCAAAGAAATTCAGCTCTGTTAGCAGCATGGTCTCTATGGTCCCTCTGTCCTAAAGGGTAGAGCAACTCCTCCGTAGCTAGGAGGCTTTGTTCCCCAAGGCCTTTTGAAGTACAAGGGAAATGTATTAGATGTGGACACAGTTTAAGTACAATACAAAGGCCTTAGCTGTGCTCCAGGACATCCTCTTTGGGTCACAAACCACAACATTAAGTATCCTGCTTCTATCTTTTATGTGGACCAGCTTTAAGAGCTTGACCTATGAGGATGCTCATGGTTCTACTGAGCATCATTTATTTTTAAAACAAGCAAAACAAGCATGTGGGTGTGTTTGTCACCCTCTTCAAAGTAGAAAGGAAGCCTTCCATCAACAGGAAGATGAAAGAAAGGGAGCACAGGTTAGAGTGAAGTGGCTTGTGGGCTTATTCTCTGGTAAGTCAAACCCGCTGGCCTTTCACTGCTGGGATGTAAAGCCTGGTTTCTTGAAGACCCGTCTGGAGCATGGTAGCATTTCAGATAGTCTCCTTACAAGAGACTGCAATCACACAGCTAACATTCGTCTTCCCTTTCTCTAGAGAAATCAGCTTGAGGCTCAATTAAGGAGACTAACCTGCCTGACCCATCATCCTGGAGAGGCCAGATGAGAAGAGTGGATTCTTTTCCAACTTTGATCATGGCTGAATCCAGCCAAACAGGAACTTCCAGTACCTTCATAGGGAAGAACACACACTAGAGTCAGGCATCAGGACTGTAGATACTAGCTGGATTAAGTGGTTTAGAAGTCAAAGGCAGAAGTTGCTATTGAATTATAACATCTCTATTCCACGGCATTTAAATATTAACATCTTTTTGAGTACCTTATGGGGCAGGATTGGTACAGAGTTTTCCTTTCTCTGATGCCAGCTGCAACTCTGCGCAATTCTTCCTTTGATGGCTCAAGTGATTAGGTGTTAACAAGAGGAACCTAGGCACTTAACACTAGGGAGTTTTAGCACCAGGTTCACACTCCCTCTCTTTCTCAAGTCCGGGAAGGGATTTTTCTCATTCCCTGCTAATGTTAACAGCAGGTACTTAAAGCAATTAGACATTATCGCCTCTCTGGTCTTTATTACTTCCTACCTGCATATCAGCTACTTTGTAGGCAATAAAAGAGCTGAATTAACAGGACTAGTTCAGACCGTTCTGCTTCTCTTCTTTATTGTGTATGAAAACACTGGGTCATGAAGCTACATGGACAGGCTGTGAGTTGCAGTGCTTTAGAGCATTATTGCCAATTGCCATAGTATTTTATAAGGGGAAAAAGCTACAGGTAGCAAAAGAACAGACATAGGGATATCACAGAGATAATGACATAGAAGCCAAGGGGGGGAATATGGGTAGACCATCGAGACGTAAAGGCTAGAATGATTGTACAAGTCAAGCAGAGCAGCTTGCAACCATGCCTAGGCTATGAATTAGCTACCACCTCGACCATCAAGTTGAGCAGGCAGCCTAGGGAAACAGGTATGATGTGTTGCTGCTGTGAAAAGAAAGCCCTCTGTCTACCAAGCAGCTTTTGCTTGCCTGGGAATAATGGTTGTACATTTTTCATCTGGAGTTATTAAGAGGCTCCTATGCCCTCTATGCTGGATTTTCAAAAACACTTTGCTCACACATTTAGAGGCTTTCCCATATAGGCCTAGCCAGGTGAAATCTTCACCTGTTTTTTTCTCTGACTTTGTTCACAATTAACCCATTATTCTAACTGCAGGCTCCCACAATATTTCTAAGACTTTTTTTGTTGATCCCAAGAGGGAATAGAGAAGAGACTCTAAGCTCTTGAATCCTGCTGTCGGTTCTTGCCTGAAAGAGGTAATAGGGAAACTGAAGGGAAGCTGAAGGAAGTAGCCTGTCCCTAGTCAGCATTCACCTGTAATGGAGGGAAAATGTGGGATTAAACACCAAAACTATACCCAGGAACAGAAATTATTGAGGTACTTACACAGTTTCATCATTCTTGAATTCCAGTTCCCCATAAGTGTCTTCAAAATCCTCTCCACCTCCTTTTGCTGTCCCTTCTACTGTCCTATATGGTACTATGACTGTACCCCGAGCACCAGATGTCCTTAGGACTTTGACTTCCATCACACCAATGCTCTCACTGACATGTATAACATCACACTCAAACGTGAAGATGCCAGCATGGTCATCATCCAGTATAGTCACTGTAGCCACACAAGGAGAGGCCAGTATTGCCTTTGGGTATGGGGAGTTACTGAGCTCCGGAGGTTCCTCGCTGTCCACCACACGCAGGTTACTGAGCCGCACAAAGAAATGCTCATCTTCCTCAAAGATGTCATCATCAATAATTCCCACAGAGAACTCCTTCTGGGTCTCCCCTGATTTCAGGACAACAGTCCCCTCTGTGAACTCATAGTCAGCACCAGCATTAGCAGAGCCATCCTCTGTTTTATAGTCCACATAGATGGTCTTGGACACGTCCCCTCCTTTCCGCACCACTGTCAGGAGAACAGCACCACAGTTCTCGAGACACTGGTAGGAGCATGGGTCAAAATAAACTTTGGAGATGAATTCTTCAGGCTCATCAGGCCGTATCTCATGCAAGCTAGTGCTCTTCTTGGCTTGCTCAGCTGCATGTTTCTTCAGAATATTTCCAGCTCCAGTCATCATTCTGGTAGCCTGAATGCGATAAAAAGCTCTGCTCTTCTGCTGATGAGACAAGGCATAGTAATTAGCCATTTCTACCAACTGGTCCAAGTCCTTTTCTGGGTATTTCTGCTTCAGGTCCTTAAGGATCCGAATCATCTCTTTGCGAGATTCATCTACCTCCTTCCCCTCCACAGTCACTAGGTTTCCATCCAAAAAGTGGGAGTTCATCATCTTGCCATCCATCTCAATTCCCTTAGGGTGATCACCTTCTGATTCTATGATAATGCCCCTGTGCTTGTCAGTACGGTATTTTTTGTGCATATACTTATAGAAAAGCAGACGTTTATCTGCTATCCAAGCCAGAAGGACACAAAGTGGAAAGAAGAAAAGTGTAAGCAGACCTTCCCAGACCTGAACCACACCTGGAGAGAAGACAGCAAGGATCATGTACAACCAAATGTACGCAAAAATGCTCCACGCAGCTGTGACAAAGAAAACCCTCAGGTGTTTTATCTTTCTGGTTTCCCCATCAGGGATCACATAGACACAGATGGCAATGATGATAAACATATTGAAAGCAGCACTGCCAACAATCGTGGAAGGCCCCAGGTCTCCAGCTATGAATCCATGCCCACATACTTCTATCAGCGATAGAAGGATCTCAGGAGCAGAAGAGCCCAGAGCCATGAGCGTCAAGTTGGAAACAGTTTCATTCCAAATCCGAATGGTGGTGGTTGTGGTCTCTCCATTGGGTTTTCTAATTGTGATTTCTTTTTCTTGTGATGTAATAACCTCTATAGATGCCATGAAACGATCTGCAATGATGGAGACTCCAAGGAACATGTAGATCAGTGCTACAAAGTATACAATAACCCGGGCAATTTTGTCCCCAAGGGATGGGTTTTCTGGGTACCATATTGGCAGGATAACACCCTCCTTGCAGTCAAAAGATCCTGAACACGAACTGTTTTGTACTGAACTTGCTGAGTCTCCCGTCAGGCCAGCGTCCACCTGCAAACCATGCAAAAACAGCACAAAAGTAACCAGCCCAAAATGGAGGAAGGCCGAGGTGAGAGGCTGCAAGCTTAACCACGCCATACACAAGATGCAACTTCCACTGTGTAGATCCAAAAAAGGCCAAGAACCTGAAACAAACAAAAGAGAGGAGGGAGGGAAGCATGAGAGAAAAGGAAGATGCAACATTATGCAACAATTGCCCATACGCGCTTCCAAATCTCACCAATGAAGAGGACTGGTAGAGATGCATGGGTTGTCTTTCTGCCACTTTGAAGAATTTATTTACCATTAGTTGGGACTTACTGCCGCATTTAGAGGCCTAGCAGATGAAGATGAGTTGCTAAAAGAGTAGTTCAGAGAAAAATTGTACATAATATCCCATTCTTGGCCTACTGCATAAGCAGCTGGATTACCAACCACTCAGCTACTAGTCACCTAGTGATGCCATGGTGTTGCCCAGTATCCGGCTCTTGAACTTTGCAGAAGAAACCAAATCTGATGTCTCCCCTGTCTCATACCCAGGGAAAAACCAGAAGCACCACCTATGCCCTTGAGAAATCTCTAAATCAAATTGTTTGTAGGCCATAACTCAATTATGAGGTACCATGGTGCCCAAGGACTTACCAGTCAGCTAAGATTGAGTTTTCAACCCTTACTATTGTCATGGACCAGACTATTCCCTTTCCTTTATAACCAGATTCTGGCAGAATTTGGCCTCAGTATGTTTTGTGACACCAAGCACAGTCACGTATCTCACAGGAAACATCAAGCTTAATAGTGGCCTTATCTAAAAGACTCAGGGGGTTCAAGAGTCTCAGCTCCCACTAACTGTCACTGAGGCTTGCACTCTTTGATGAGGAGGACTTGGCTGCTTCTCCCCTGTTGTAACTGCCTAAAACTTGGGCAGTAAGTTAAAAGAAGTCGCCTAGGCTCTCTTTGTAGTCAGTGGAAAATCACTTCTGAGGGACAATCCTTGTGTCCCACCCCTATATGACATGAAAGATGTAATTAAGACACGTGTCTCCAGAAGGGATTCAATCCTTTTCGCCCCTTTTCCCTTGGTCTACAGAGAGTGCCCCCACAGCCAGTTTAGAGCAGATGCTTAACCTTCAGCTGGCTACAGTTCAAAGAGATGAACTGGTCCCTGAACACTTGTGAAGGTCCTTTCCCTTCTCCCTTGCACTGTATGTATTCGAGACAGCATTTTAATGTTATCAGCATTAACAAATGCATCTCAAATGGTTATTCTATCATCATGTTGTGTCACTTGCATCTCCTCAAAAGCAGGTGCAATCTTCCTGATATCAACAAAAATGTTTTCAACTTTCAGATAAAAATCTATAGAGACAAGCAAAACAGCAAGACAAGCATGAACAAGGACTGCAAATGAACCAAACTGTTTCTGACAAAGCACAGCAGAGGGAAGAGAATTGATTATGCAGTATCAGGATCACAAATCCATATCAAATACCCTTGATATGAAAAATAATACACTTCATGTCATCCAGATTAATTCAAAGGAGATAGATTCTCCTACATTAGCTTTCTCAAATGCCTATTTATCTTTTCCACCCTAGATGAAACTCCAGTTCCAGTTTGAGGGGACCCTCCGGATCTGAGGAATCACAGTCCCAGTGAGAGTTGTTAGGCTGCACCAGTGCCAGCCCTGCTGCCTTTTTAAAATGCTTTACTGTCAGCACAGCTCAGGGTGACAGGGAAGACTGAGCTATCTGGCTATACAACTTGGGTAGAGTTTGAGTCTGCCATGTTGGTTCCCCTTCCTCTTTGCATGATGTTTTGCCTAATTTCTGGCAGCAGGATGTTGGGAAATCCCTGAAAAGAGGCCACGATACAGAGGCAAAGTGACTGTATGCAGCAAGCTTGAGACATTTGGACTTTGAGGCAGACGTGTGCACATGCACAGTAAAGAAGACAAGTTCCAGGTGCCTCTGACATGAGGTACATGCAGAGATGCATGCACACAGTAGCTCCAATACACCCAGGGCACATCAAATCATCCTCTTTTTTTTTTTTTTTTTTTTTTTTTTTTGTTTTGGACTGCAATTGCTGCAGGTATTCACCTCTTGACTCTTCCAGTTCCCCAAGTCTAGTTAACTGCACAGCAGCCAGTAGGCATTGTGTCTCCCAAGACAAGCATGTAGAAACGGCTGTCAGAAAGACAGGAGTAATTTCAAAAACATCTATGTGACTCAAGCACCTAAATTTGATTTCAAAAATGACTTAAGAGTCCAAGTATCACTTAAATTCTACATCTAGGAAGAGTGCAATGACTACACCACCCTCTGAAATAAATCACTGCTACCACCAACTTCACTCTGTGGTACAATCACATTTTGTAATTAACACTGCCTACCTTATATAACTCTGTAATGGTTTGTATTGCTAGCCATTCCTCAAAACATTGGCTTTCTCTTTTAATTTTTAATTTGATTTTAAGCAGAGTGCAAGTCTACTTTTGAGATTATTGCTCAAACTAATTGTGCATGATTTCAAAAACAACCTCCATCTGAGGGAGCTTCTTGGAACTCCAAACTCAAGTTATGGATTGTAGAGTAAAATCCCAGAATTTGGCAGCACATTGTTTCACCGATTTTCATTTGTTTTAATGAACATCTCAATGCTAAGTGGAGGTCAAAATCATTTTCTAATACTATACAATAATGGCCTGCAATTCTTTGACATAGATAAAATTCCCCAGTGAGATCAACAGGAACGTTGCCCATAGAGACACTGCCTGGTAAGATTTTAAAATGCTTTCAGTAATACAAACAGCATTAACCTAACCAATCTAAAAAACATGGTGGAGCATTCTTATTCCCCCTCTTCCCTTGGGAACTGGTGCAAAATTGCTATGCAAGACAAAATAAGACTATTAGATTTTAACACTGCTGGTAATAAAATATTGAGGTGACAGTTTTAACACTAAGAAGTCAGAGAATAGAAGAGTTAAAATTCCAGTCTAACTCTAGGTCAGCAGTGTTGCTTACATAGTTTTGCTCTTAGATTTATCTGCTAACCTCAGTCCAGAAATTGGTGGAGGGGATCTACGTAGCTTTGGCCTCCCCAGAACAAAGTAGAGACATTTCCTTTAAGTAAGGATACTGATCTGAAGAGGGTTAACTGTGGCCTGGCCATTCAGCATGAGTCCTGCTCTGAGGATCGAGCCTTCATCTGGCAGGCAGGCTTGAAGCACAGTCCTGCTTCACAGCAAGTCAGGACCCAGGAAGAGTTGGTATCATTCCTCCTATTTTTCTCCAACAAAACAGCAAATCCACACCTGGAGGAGCCACACAGACTCTTACACAGGAAGGTATAACTCCAACTATGTCACTGCCTTTACTGTGTGGGATACAAACAACAGCAGACTGCAGCAATAGTGTAAAGTCAGTTAGCACTGAGCGATCTTCAGCTTGACACTATTATGCTCTTGAGTTGTTGATCTCCACTACCTCTTTCACAGCAGGCATCTTCTGCTCACGCAGATCTGTGCCTTCCATCACTATCTCATGAAGTACATGCAAATAAGGACAGTGGTATTGAGGGATATTTCTCCTCTCTGGTACAATAAGTCATGAAAGCATTCAATCAATGCAGCAGAGACAAAAAGCTGAAAGCATCGGTGTGACAGAACAAGCCAGCGTTCAGGAGGAAGGCTCTGGGGAAGAGGCATAACAGCTATTTTAGCAGGGAGATCGCTTTATTCTACAAGAGTTGACAATGGCCAAGTGATCCATAAATCCATAAATAAAATCCATAAATAGACAGGATCAGTTCTTAAAATACTTTTGGAGACAGTCCAGAAAGCAGCATGGTTTGCGCTTGGAAGACATTGTCACATTAGACCTGAGATAGAAAATGACTTCAAAAACCTATCAAGCTAGTTATACCTCTTACGAGAGCTGAGTTTTAGAACAGTGATGTTTTGGGTGCGCTTAGGCTATACGGGTGTAGAAAGCTAGGAAGGCTATACCTTAAAACTTAGCTTTTGATATACAGCTACCCACATGACCCTAATGGCAGGGATATTTTCAAAAGAAAGCATCCACGGTAAGAAATCTAATCAAGAGGTAGGATAACTCATACCCTCCATTTACTGAGTTCTGAAAATCACTGTCAATAAATACAAAACCAAAGGCAAAGCACCAAGTTGCTATTCATTTCTTATTAGGCAAAACTCCCCTTAAGCCACCATCAAAAATAGAACCTTTGGATTTTGCCTGCAAATAAAATCAGGTCATCTGGCCTCGCCTCCTGCTCTCCCTCCCACCCACCAAATAAATCAGAAACACTGAGTGTATTTGTGGTCATGTATACTCTCCCTCCCGGGCTCCAGACTAGCAAGAAAATGCTGCTGATTACATAAGAGTGCTGGGTTAGCCCCACTGACGCCTGGGCGCCGTGCTGGGTGCCGCCACAGACACACCAAGACCAGGCGTTCTGTCGCTTGGCAAGCATCTGTCCCACAGCAGGGCACACACAGCACAGCTATCGGTGGTTACTGCAGCACTCCCCACTCCCAGGCTGGAGGCGACAGATATGAGGTCATCTCCATACCAAGGATGGTCAGAGAAAGGAAAAAAAATCCTCACATGCCTTTACTCCAGAACATACTAAGGCTTTCAGATTGAGCACACATTTTTGATAAACATAGCAAAAATTGAAATTATAGCCTTTCTGTCAAAGAACACAAGAAATTTAGCTTTCACAGAAGAGATATTATTCCTAATTCACACTCTTCCCTCCCTCACAATAAAACCATAAAAAAAAATTAATAGAAAACAAAATATATTTTCAGTTGTCTCCATTCAAATGCTATTTATCCCTTTGCTCATCATTACCACATACCAAAGTTGTGGTTTAAATTTAGTTTAAATTTCCTCACAATGCAGAAGCCAGAGCAGTGTAATCATATCCATTTTGTTAGACAAAAGCAAATTTCCAACCTAGGCCAGGGCTTATACGATCCTGTTGACAGCAGGCACTTACCTGCTAGCACACAACTGATGACCCCCAAACTCATTTTACATAGATTATTATACAGAAATGGGTAGGCTTAGTCCCTGGGACCACATCAGCTATATTTCATGTGGAGAAAAGCTCCA